GCCTAATCAGGAGACCAATTAAAACTTGATGAATGACTTGTACTTACTTCATCTCATACAAATATTCCAGGCCGGATAATAATTCGAGGAAATTTAACCTTTCATCTAATCTTCTAAAAACGAACCTGGGATTGATTCATGATAGATATTCAGCAGAATATATGTCAAGTTTACATTAATTAGCCACCCTCTCTTTCCTTTAATTCGATGGACGAATGGATTGGCTCCCACCAGTGTATTACATTTCCATTCTCTTAGAAAAACCTTACATTTAAAATACTACATATAAGTACTGGGAAGTCATTACAGTCATTTTACCACGTAATATATTCAGTCAAATATCAAAATATTTCTCCACCATATAAGGGCAGCTTGTCTAAATAAGTATAACACCCAAATTTTCATGAGACAACATGCATCACAGTTAAACGATTCCACTTTGCTGTAACCATCCATTTATGTCACTTTGGAATAGTCTGTATAAATGGACAGTTTTGAAAGGCTTTCTTTATCCTCCTAGGTATGTTGTGAAGGGGATAAAATACTTGAGCGTTCATTCATGTTTCCAACTCAACCATACTTCATCGGACGATGCACCACATTCTACTTGTTTATTTGTATGAGTAGTTGGTCGATATTAAGAGAAAATTCAGTGTGAATTATAGACGTGTTGCTCAGAATAAAAACTCTTAATATATTTTCGTTAATTTGCAAACACTTGACTACAACATTTATCAATCAGACATTACGAATAATTGACTTCTGCTCTTCATCTTAACGTCTCTGTTTTAATATTACTTTGATGTCTGATTGAAGTGCCTACAAACTGTTTAATTTTTAACAGACAATATAGCTAAGTCATTGAAAAAAGTATCAAATCAGCGTAAACAATGTGAATATTTTATTCACACCAAAGTCTGTAGTTTCGGGACTGATTTACAGACGGAAATTATTCACAATGTTGAAATCTTTTAAGATCTTCTTGTGGGTTTGGATTGGGTCTGTCTTCTCTCCACCAAAGTCCTCTTTCATGATCCCTTACACCAGAATTATGAATACTGTCAGTGGTAGGGGGCAGGTTATGCTTGATTCTCATATTCACTTGAATGGCTTCACTGACTTTTCCATTATGAATAACTTGACATGTGGTATATCCTATAGCTTGGGTCAATGGAGTTTCAGAGCAGTCCATAGAGTTGTAGCAGTTTCCGAATTTCTTCATGGTCAACACATTTGAAGGTTGTTTCGAAGCATTTGGAGTTGAAGTAGAGAGTTGACTGCCACTCTAAGCACTGTTCAATGATGGTGCGTAATATTGCGGTTTGGTACGCACATGGTTTTCTCTTCCTGAATGAAGCATGTTCGCATCCAGCACACGTTTCATCTCTTCATGATGATGCCACTGAGTACTCCGTATGGATTGTAGAGGGGCTAGTTCACGCCAATTCTCGCAAAGTGATAGGTTATCCAATTTTCCTAGTGCGACAATTTAACCCTCCATGAAGTCAGTAATTACCTTTCTTTCACTGCTTTCTGCACTAGTGATGTGTGAGAATTCGCTGGAGTCTCAGAGTCTGTTTGCAGCGTTTCTGGTGAAAAGCAAACTACTTTAAACTTTTCCCCGGTTTTCAATAACTCTTTTTGATATAAAGATTCGATGGATGACTGATGTTTACTTGCAGATTTGTCTCTGTCTCCAGACGAGTGGAAGGTGTCGGTTGACTCATAAGTTCCTCAACACGACCCTACCAACGGCTTTTTTGATAAATTGATAAACTGTCTTTCGTTGATCTCATTTTTGCAAATCGCTTCCCATACAGACACCTAATTACCTTATACGGTGTTTTAACGTCTGTCTTATCTGCGGCATATTCTACTCCAGTTTGTAGTGTGTCAAGCAATTGTCTACTGTCTTTTCTAGCACTCTTCTTCATTTAATAATTCAGTGACATTTTTATTGTCTGTGAAAGCAGATCAAAAGCGCAAGACGTGTTGATAAAATTCAATTCATTCCATCCAAATCTTAATTTCACAGTAGAACACGAGGAAAACGATACTATTAAATTTGTAGACGTTCTTCTCGCCAAAATGAATGATGGCACAGTCGAAAGATCTATATTTAGAAAGTCTTCATGGACAGGACAGTACATGCATTTCAAGAGCTTTGTTCCAATCCAGTACAAAAAGAACTTAGTCAGAACACTCTTCAATAGAGCACAGAAAATTTGTTCTGACAGTACTATTGAACATGAAATAAAATCTCTGAAGGATATTTTATGTAAGAATGGATATCCTGAGAAGTTCATTAATAAATACTCTAAAGAAACTACCCCTTGCAAAACAATTCAAACAGTTCCAAAGAAACCTGTCTATATCAATTTGGCAATCAAAGGAGATGACGTACAGGAAGTAGTGAAACGAAGACTTGACAAAGCCATCAAGAGAACATATTATGCTGCAAAACTTGTTATCCTTAACACCACCAAGCGAGTGCTTCAACAATCTGGGAAAGACCAGTCGCCAATCCTCGACACTTCAAACTGCATATATCAATTTGAGTGTGTTTGTGGCAGCAAATACATAGGTCGTACGGAAAGGCGATTATCTACTCGCATGATGGAGCATTTGCCAAAATGGTTGAAAACAGCTGAGTGCAAAGTGTCAAAATCCTCAATAACAAAATATCTTGTGGATTACGGACATGATATCGACGCTGTCAAGTCATTCACCATTGTCAGTAAACAAAGAAACAAGAAGATGCTTGCAATTGCAGAGGCTTGTGCAATTCGAATTTACAAACCAGCTCTCTGTATACAAAAGGAGATGGTCGTCACTCTGAATCTACCATAGTAATACGTTTTACTTATTATTCTCTACTTGTTATTACTACTATTCTACCTCTTCTTCTTATTATTGTTATTATTATTATTATTATCATTATTTTTTATTCTTGATTCATTTAAAACTATGCTTTATTCGTAAGATTATCTTAACTCACTTCAACACTATTAAAATTGTTATTATAACTATTACTATTGATATTAGTCTGTTTGCAATTCTTGATATATTCTCTAATGACTAATTGTTTATGTAAGTGATGTAATTGAAGCGTAATGCAACTTATCTTAATTTTGATCTCTCATACTCTCTCTCCCCTTATCTATTTGAACATGACCTGTAAAACATTCGCACGTGTCTTTCTGCATGACTAATTCAATGTAGTTTATTTATCAGTCTTATATCTCCCAATGTAATTTCAAAAGTATATATATCCGTGTATGTAGAGTATTCAGCTGACGAGTTCTACCGAAATTTGATGAATTTATTAAATCCTGCTTTATTAACCCTTATTGCTTGTTTTAAATTCCTATCGGAAATAAATGTTTTCAATTCTTGAATATAAGAAATCGCCACTGCAATTTCACGATATAGCAGAACAAAATGTTTGAATAGCTTATATCGCTACCGTCTCATTAGCCAGGTACAGCCTGACGAAATAAATTAGGTTACGTACGGAAATATCTTAAAATTCTAGGGAATACTACAGAATGTTACCTTAAAAAGGACTTGAATACTAATGAAGAGTACTCGGAAAATACACCTTTATATCTTAAACACTGAAGGTTGAAGTTTAAATAGAAACCAAATTATCCAAGATAGAATATCAAAGGAGTTGTGTTATAAGAACAAATGGTGGTGGATAGTATGATAAATAATTAACTGATTAGTTGAGTAACAGTGTGATGGGATCAACTGAAATAATCTAAACCAGTAATAACCGATAGACATTACGGCGAAGGAGAAGATGACCAATTCAAGATCAAGTAATTAAATTAAAGGGGGAGTAAGGACATCTAGTTGCCAGGATAAGGAAGGACAGACAGCTGCCTCTTTCTGAACGCGAATTGAGTTTCAGAAATTTCACTGTAATTGCTTTGCTTAACCTAAAAAGAAATGAATAATTCAACCTTTTGAAAATTTTATAGGATTTCATGCTGTGTACCTTGAGCGCCTTGTCCATAGATTACCAGACACTTTGAAATGCCATGTCTCCTTGAGTTCCATATTTTAATGTCTTAAATATCCTCAACAGAAAACTGCTTGTTGGCTTAGAGAGTATTTGAAATCAATTCGCTGAGTGATGACTGTGCTCACCATGGAAGATCCATTTCATTTCACCGAAAGCCTGAAACACACGAACATTTCCAACAGGTTCATGATGTCATCTGATGCAACATCCATATTCATAAAGATTCCACCTAATACAACTATCGATTTTATTTTTCAGCGTTCTGATCTTCATTCTATAAACACCTACTACTAGTGCATTCCTTGGATATATAATTCCAGTTTGACAGCACATTTTACCATTGAAATGATGGTGGAGATTTGAGAAATCCACTGAGCAGACATCTATATATCTAAACCTGATAAAACACTGTAGTCGATGGAACAACGCCTTATGGATGACACATTTGTGGTATGCCAGAAATAAAGTCATGCGTCCAACCTACCTTGACTGTCCAATAACGCACATAAAAATACTAACTTCAATATGTAAAATGAAAGTGATGCGAAGTTTCATTTTCTTGATATTGACTGGTGACGTCTGGAAGATGACATTCGGCAGAGACCAATTCACTGGAAGCTTTTATGGAATGGACGATACATGGAGTTCCCCACTGCATCCACGCAACGAATGTCAGATTATTTATTTGCTACTGATTTTTGATATTTGACGTCTTTGTTGAAATAAATGAGAATCTGAATTTTATTATCGATTTTATTACATTATTAAAAGTAATATACACATTGAAATCGCTCAGCCAATTATCTGCTACAATTCCAAATATTTATCTGCACTTGTGCCATATAGATGACGCCCACCGGTTTCCTCTGTACGATTTATTGATACGATGAAGATGGCCATCTCCGTTGAAACGAGCAAATGCAGCCAGACAATTAACATGGCACTTATCAATCCACAGAGTACGTGTTGATCATTTCGAAATGTGAATCGTCTGTCGCCAAGAATTGCTTGAACAATGATAGCTATCTCCTGAAAATGAAAGACCATCGTGTTAAGGCGTATTCGTGTCCAGTATGTATAAACATCCTGGTATATTTGAATGAAGCATGAAGTATCGACTAACTGATAAAAATCCCAATGCCCTTCCTAACATGGAATGAAAGGTGAAAGCACGAAATCTTATCACTGGCTAAATGTTATTTCATCAGTCATTCATAAATATTAATATGTATTTGAAAAATATTGAATATCCAAGCAAGCAGTTGCAAGCGATAACAATAAACTGCTCAAGTAAAGAAACCTGATGGGCATATTGGAATCCCAGCTTCTGGCTTAATTTTCTGCTACTCTATATCAGAAATGTTAACCTTCTCATAACCCATTGTGCTCCAATGGCGAATATTTGAATTTGATGGTGATTCTGTTTCTAATGCTGCTTGCATCCTCCCCAACATTTATGAACCTTAACGTGTCTTGAAGCAGAATCGATCACTGCACAGAAGTCTTCTTTTGATGAGGAGATTTATAAAGATATAAAGGAAAACTGTAGCTCGACAGTGGTGGTGGAATCTCTCATATTTATAAAATTTGATAGTCATATATAAGAAGGGATAATGAGTATTGTTGGGGGTATAAATCTGAGTTTAGCAATGATTTAGTTCATGATACAATCACGTTAAGTTAAAGCTCAAATTAAATCAACCAAAATGTGAAGCAACCATCATCCATCGTCGTATCCCTGACATGGCAATCCTTCAGATTCTGATAAACACTTGTTGAAATTTTTCAATGGACTCATAGAAAGCCCAGTGGATGACTCTTTATATTTGAAAACCATTTGAATTAGACGACAGCTGCTGCGTTAAATCTCACATTCAGTGAGGAAAACGAGAGTGACATGCATTTTCTGTTGGCAATCAATAGACTCTACGATATAGGGAACATTGAGCTTCAACACTGAACAAAATTAGACACAAATGTTGGAGTGTATTTGTCCCTTTTTTAAAATATGAGGGCTAGGGTCTTGGTTGATATCCTGATTTAGAAGTGCATCCGCTGCTTCAGCTATCTACTTTATTCAGTACACTTAAACTGACAAAAACCAGCTACATTTACAGAAGTGCAAATCTATCTTTCAAATGATCGATTGAAAAACCTACCGAAATAACTGTCCACATCATGGCGAATCCACACAGTATTATGAGTATCTGCCAAGAGAATGAAGAACAAAATTAGTAATTCAGCTCAAACTGCATAGAAATATGATAGTGAGTTTTGTTGCGCAAATCATTTTAGCCTATCGTCCACGTCTGCTAATTATTCACACAGCTCGGTGTAATGATGCCTTACATAAGTTATAATAATCATAGAAAATATAAATCGAATGTGCAGACAACTTAACCTCAGTCACAGGGTTATCCACATCTCTACATCTAAACACTGGACTTGGTAATCCACTCCGGGAGACCGAATGAATTATCCTATTCCACGTAAGTTTTAGTATACTTTTTGGTGTTTTCAAATTTATGCAGTCACTGGGGGTGTGATAGTATTAAACCCATATCTAACCATGCTTAGAACGAGTTAGTTAAGTAGGGCAAGCGATGAAGACATCTGGCTTTAAATACAACGAACATCAATCCCCATCAATTGCAGGAATCCAGAAAACGTTGTCGTTCCGCTTATCTGACCAAGTCAGAATAGTTTGAACTACATGCGGGGTCATGGATGAAGATGTCATAGTCAGTCAGGAATGGAAAGGCGAGACACAGAGGTGTTCATGAATCTGAAAAGAGTCGTGGAGCTGGTAACATCTGATACACACAATCAGATCCGAGATGTGTAAATTCACGGTTCTTTTACCCGATAACTAGCTAGAATGTGTAAGCAATAATTTAGTCTATTAGTGAATTTCCTGGCTTCCAAGATGAATCTTTTCGTCATTACCCTGTAAAAAAGACAATCCCCCCGCAGAAGGGTAATCGATACTGTTGACTGCATACTCGTTGTTGAAAGATGGGTGACAGAAGTAGATTTAAGCGTCTTCAAATGGCAGTGGAGTATCCACTCCCATTTCATCTGTCTGACGGATTTTTAACATTTCAATACGATGTCGCCTTGTTCATGCTGCTATCCACGCAGTCCTGTCAGCTTCAATTATACTGTCAGTGTTCCACGTCCTCCATTCCTTTTTCATCGAAGAAATACGGATATGTCAATTGACGTCAAAGACCTTTCATCGGCAGCGTCTTTGTGGCCTAATGATTAAACAGAGAAAGAGATTTTTCTACCATGCTGTGTAGTTTCAGTAGTGATGAAGATGGTTTATACGCGGTTCGCCTGTCAGCTTCAAGCCCATTCTACCCTCTACTCCCAGATTACTAATAGTTAGTAAGCTGTACCATATCTTTTAAACACATATCATTATAACCAAGTAATTTTTAATTCAGACCAACTAACAGTTCATCTAATTACTTACATCAAATTCTCGCCAGAATATGAAAGGGAAGAATATTATAACAAAGGCTAATTCCACAATGAAAGTGACGAGTATAAACTCCCCAAAGTTCCTGAGCACATCGAATCTGTTGACGACACTGACAGCTACTACAATTCCCGCAATAATCACAGTAATTGTCCATGTGACTAATGTCCACCAGAATTGTAAGTTGATGAGTGGAACAGCTGCAGCAAAGGCAACGATTATTGTCTGAATGAGGGATGAAGAGAAGCGAACAATAATGAAAAAAATGAAGTACATCAGTTTCCAAAAATCGTTTTTGAAAATGAATGAATCTAATGAACTCGTGTTGCAGTTTGTAGTCAGTTGGAAGGAAGCGGTGAACCTTGGTACTCAAATTATAGACGAGCCATAAGATGGCATACATACCTTTACTCAGTAATTTTATGCTGCATGCCGTTAGCAGCTAAAATATAAGAACACTGATTTCAATCTCACATTACCACAAAGTTAAGATATGCCGCTTATGAAAAAAGTTGGGAAGATGTTTTCAGCTCATGGGTTTATCTCTATTTCCTGGAAGGTATTTATCCAGTTGTTCGGAAATAACGCAGTTGATATTTGTAAGCTGGCAGGAAGAGATGAATCCTTATATTCAGGTTCCGAGTAATTCATTTGTAGTCGTATGTACCTAAAAATAACTATCATGCCAGAAGCCTGACCAATAATATTCAACCGAAAGTCTACTGTAACCGCATTGACACTGGTTTAGCTATGATATTGCTGGGAACTAACCATATATCTGTTTTGTAAAGAATTAGGAAATGATAAGCAGTCAATAACTCCACTTTTCCTTTTGAGGAGGAGGTTATAATGGAATTCACTATTCTTTTTAAAATTTGATCATCTATATTCCTTCGTGTCACATAGTTCACTAATGTGCTCCTACTGAGCTGTGAGTGTTTCAAGAGCGACTGTACTTGGTTTAATATTTCTAATATTCGGGGTTCCAGACAGTAGGCAATACTGGATCCACTTCAAAGCTGTTCCTTTCATGTAAGAATAGTAAATACCATATTCGTCGCACTTTTTGCCTGTGAATCAGCCTTTTAGGGATAATATGACTTCGTTCTTTCTCTTGGTGTGAAATCCATCCCTTAACTCTATCAACTTCATGTGGATTCAGCCTTAATATAAAATATTGGAATGTGGAGTTATCCGAGTAGGAACAAGCGAAGCATATCTTTATGTGAACATCTAACAGTCAGATGTGCAAGAGGAAAATATTATTGTGAATATAGTACTTTCATAAATCAGTTGACTTAAAATTATGAATGGCAGAACGGACTCCACTTACAGCAATTATCAAGTAGATGTAATTGAATGGGAAGGCGAACTGTAACTGCGGTATTAAAAGCATCTCCAGCTGCAGAAATGTTCCCAGAATTCTGTATTAACACAAACGAAATAAACAAGAGTTATAAAGTTCAAGTGAACTTTGAGGAAGATATGAGAGAATAGTTCCAAAATAATCGGGCGACGAGTTAGAAGCAGACATATGTATACATTATACTACATATCTGCAATGATGCATACTAAGGTAAAGAAAGTTATAAAGACTGGGTTTCTGCAGATCATTTTGTACAGGATGAGGAATGGGAAGGATAGACATTGACTATAATTGTGTTGATTCAATATGACGATTGCTACCAGACTACTCAAACTACAGACTGATTAATTCGTAGGACTGTCATAAATAAGTTGTCGTTTTCACAGGCAAAACGACATCTCATCTGGTAATACAGCGGATTCAGTAATCAAAGTTTGAATTTCTTCTGATATATGAGATATTATTCGTTGACATGAAGTGTTGAGTTGCTCATACAATCGGTAGGTGTCAGTATTCTTCAGTCTTTCTCACTTAGTTCACCATCAGTTTTCATATGTCACGTTTATAGCTCAAACCTCTTGTAATGATGGTGTTCATATTAAACAGAAACCACTTCCACGTCACTAATTGGATCTTATTAGCTTATTCATTGTCTTTCTCTTGGCCTTACTGTCTACGGTATACGTTCCCATGAGATTTACAATAGATAGAGTGATATGGGTAAAATGGATATAAACGTCAGTATTATACGTACCCACACATCCATGGAAACCAAGGACTTTCCGTCATCCATGTACGAAGTTCCGGACTTGAAAACATTTCAGTGACAATATTAAGTCAACAACACATAACTTACACAGATAACACGACAGCGCAGATTCCCCACACAATTGTTATCTGTACTGATACTATGATTAAAGTCTTTGAAAAATGAATGGATTTCAAAAATGGCGCTGATACCTTCCAAATAAACTCCCTGGTCTTCGTTCAACAGGAAACTGGCTGGAAATAGACTTGGTTAATTCGGTTATATGTGATAACAGTGGGGAACATACATCTGTGTTACTTTGTGAATTTGCTAAATCTTGAGCTGAAGGCGGTTCATCCGTTGGAGCGAATGGGGGGATTGTTTGGTTTTCATTTTTGACTGATAATATTTTCAAATGGTTCATAATAAATTAAAAAAGGAGAAAAGAAGAAGATTTGATGGTAGCCTTATGAATTAACAATGAACTACTCGAGATTTCTTGACTCACGAATACAGCTCTAACCAAATGGTCGAATGCAGAGAATCTGTTTATTTCATTTTTGATGTCACAAAATCGTGTTGATTTCGCACCTTGTGTCGAAGCATGCACGCAGTAGCACTGATACTTAATCCTTCTCCTTGAATCATCATGTTTCAAAAACGGAAAGTGGACTTGCATAAAATAACATACTCTGCATATTGCGTTTTTCGCATACGCACATTTTACTGTTGTCACAGGCGAAATATATGATGTGAGTAACTCAAATACTTGCATACCAGTTCTGTAGCATCATTCTACATTCTACGTTATCGAGTCTATGCCGAACGTACTGAGATGTTCACTCAGTGTTCAAAAGACTCTTCCAATTGGAGTAAACATCACTAGATATAACTGTTTCTCTTATTTACTTTATGTTAGTCAGTCTTTTCTTAAGTAGTGAGATAATCCTTCAGACCGCGAAGTCGACAAACTCAACACATCTACAGTCAGCTGAAATAAGAATGTACACTCAACATAAGGTACACTTACAGGGCTTGGCGAGTTGATCAAATATTTCATGCATAATCATATGTTGTAATAGAATCTTTAGAATGACAGTGTTGAGTTACAACATTAGGTGAAAAATTATGTCCAATGTTGATTGACATATGGTAAGTGTGTATGTGTCACAGAGCTTATTTACAGTATGAAGATATATTGGGGTATATTCTTTTTAAGAGTGTGAAACCTGTGTGGTTTCCTTGGGTTTGGTATCGCACGAACCAACATGGTGTTCATGAATAATAAATTAGCCAATATATATTCTGATTGTGATTGTCCTACGTATGATAAATCATAATGGTCGACAGTTTGCATCGGTCTTTGAAGACCAAGTCGGATTTCCAGACACTATTTATCACCTTAATTCATTCTGAGAATGCTGTTTTGTGCGTGGTTGCACGACTAACTTAGACAGTTTTGAAACAAACACTACAGTTTTTCGGATCGATATTTATCCCTCTTTAGAGGTGGTGTTGAGTGTGGCGCAAACTATGTGCAAGTAAATCCCTGTTGAACAGTCTAAATGAAGAATCGTGATATCTATATAAATCTATGATGTCCAAATATATTAAAGATTAGTTGTCTGGAGTCTTCGAATCTGAATATTCCAGATAGATATTTCAGGTTTATTCGTTCCATTAGTCGAAAAAAGCATAAGATACTATAAGCGATTGAGGAGATAAATCTATGTTTCGCGTTACAATTTACAGCAGCATAATAATGTCTCTCATGACAGCTTCAATATCTTGATTTCGAGAGTATCCGTATTTATGTTGAGCAAGTTACGACTCATTCATAGTGTCAAGTTTCCATCAGACACACAATCCATTCGTCACTATTTAATAATGTCCATGACTAACTGTATTCCCCCAACTATTTCAGTGAATATATGAGTGTCCAATCTGAGCGGAATCTTTCATTCAGTTAGAGAATAAGGAATTACTGAATTTCAAAGTGGCCGATTCAGTGAGAACTGTTTCAAAATAGTATTCAGCAAATCGGTAATTCTGAAATAATAGAGAAGATGTGTAGCTCAGGTGTATGATTTGCAATAATAGTGTTCTCTGAGCTGGTTGGTTTAATTGCGTAGCTTTCGCTGAAGATGTTTTCTAGAAGGACGAGAGGATGTCATAGCTTTTGAATACGTATTAGTTACTGTCGTTCATCAAATACACCACACTGACACGTAACATAAGATAAGGTCGTGAGCAGTACGACATCATAACGAACAGCCTCATGTAAGCATTACAAGTATCAGGGTTGAAAGTAAAACTAGGGGGAATATATTTTCAGATGTACAGTAGAATTCACACATAAAACAGAAAACTTACCCTCGTTCGATGAATTTGTCATTGTCGAGATTGTATTAACTGCAGAAATCGTGGAATAAATGTGCAATCGATTTAAAAATATCAGCATATTTGAAAATCAGTAAATGCGAATTTATATGAGCAAAAGTGTTGACATTGATGAATTGCAACACGAACTTTGATATGAGAGAAACAACCAATGAGACAAGTGAATTAGAAACTAGACTACTTGAAAAACTGTCTGAGTAGACGCAAAAAAATAAAGTCTCATAGAACTGTCGGAATACAGAAAGCACGTTAGTTAGAATACTGAATAAAAGGCGTCTACTTTGAGCAGATAAATAAAACAGAATTGAACTATCATGGCGTAATGGCAGTTCGGGAGCCAGTTAGCACCATTTGCTGCTGAATGTTTACTTCAGCATACTTGAAAATCCCTCATAAATGAGAATATATAACTTCGTGGAGTTGTTAGTCAAGGTGTTGGCCAAAAAAATGTGAGAAATGGAACAAAATATGAAAATAAATATTCCGTTGTATGCAGTCGAAATGGAGTCTAACTTAATAGAACGCGAGGCTAAAAATAAGCACTAATTTTAATGCATGAGTCTAAGTAAGAGTGAGAGCTACAGGTAGAATTCAAATTCCAAATTAAAGCGTCTATCAATAGTGCGTTTGCGCTCTTCACATTATTATGAGAATTGACAAATAATGGCTAGTTTTTAATGAGACAGCTGAACTGGAATATCAGTTATCTAGTTGATGAAGAGAATGACGTAGGAATCTATTCAATCAGAGTGAAATTAAAGAAAATGGTTGCATCGAATCGAGATAGCCCTATACATTTTGCCTTATTGGTGCACCGAATTACTGTCAGGATTAAATATTTAGTACATGGTGTCTGATTTGGAAGATGTTAGGTGCATTTATCCGCACATGTGATTTCTATGAATGACTTATTTACGCGTTTTTCTTTGAGCTAGACAGATATTTTCTACATTACAATGTCTACGATACCTAGGGGAGACGCACACTTTAAAAGTCATAAAGTTTTGGTACCCTCAGACTCAGAGTGATCAAGATTACATCAACGACTGCCCTCTGTATAACCATCGAGTTTCAGCGACTTTAAATCTGGAGTGTTTGTCTGTTCAGCTGTGTTAGTGGAAGTTAGTTCACAGTTTTTCTCCACCTGAATAAAAAGGATGAAATCGCATAAGTTACTATGTAATTAGCAAAGTGAATCGACCCTTTCATTGTTCATCTTTCTGTAATTTTACAGTGTCACACTTTCTATCGTTTACTTATAACTTTGCTATTTTATTTTAAATTTTCAAGTATCGGTTTTGTAGGGATTTTGTTTGATTGCATGGAGGATTTAATCATGAGCTGACATCAGTTAGAGAACCACTGAAAACGAGCTCGCATTGTAACCAGAAGGTCCTGGGTTCGAATCCCGGTGGGCGCTTACTGCTGGAGAGTGCCAAACTAGGACGAAACAGCTGTCCAGTACTCCCGAGTTTTCCAATGGTTCTCTAACTGATGTCAGCTCAGGATTAAATCCTCCATGTATTTTATTTTAGTTGTGATTACTATTGTCACTACAATTTTATACTTTATGCATATTCTTCTCCATATTGCATACAGTAATTTGCTATGTAGCTGCTATAACAACGTTTTATTATTACAATTATGTGATGTTTATTTTTATTTTTTTGTCGTTTTTGAGTAAATTAGATGCAATATTGTACTGAATGCTGAAAATTCCTTGCTGTATCATTAGTACTGTTTTTTGGAATAATGGGAATTATTATTATTACTCCTTGGTTGACTCAGTTAATCCTGCTGTTTCTTTCTCCTCCTCTACATTTTCGTGAATTAGCGTTTCTCATCATTCTATCCTCTAACTCGTTTCTTTTCTGAGTACTTTTGTCTACAAAAGGGTTGATTCGCTAACTGGACATTTAGTCCTTCGTCACCTGTCGTTTCATTGAGATGATGCTTGCCACATTTCTATCATTTCTAGTGTGAATCTATTCATCATTTCCTTTGCCTGACTACGTTTTCAATATCAACCTAAGCATGAACACACTCCTCTTTTACAACTTAGATATCTTTTTACTAACATCTATTGGTTATTTGTTCTGATCACCTTATGCTGTTAACTTGACCCCATGTACCTAAAACTGACTAAATGAAATAACTCTTTGAGTGGTAAAACATTCCAATGAAAAATCTGCATATTAGGTTAGAGCCGATGATGGGGAACTAATTTAAAGAGAATGTGTATTTCTTCTCTGAATGTGTTTTATTTTTATAAATGCGTAAATGGGAATTCGGAAATTACTAAGCATGAATAGATTTTGTCTTCTCAAACGTGCTAAAATAGTCATTATTTTGTCATGAAATATTCCTGGACCCAGTATATTCGCCTGTGATAAGTTTGGAAAAGGCTGAAGGATGGGCCTGAGTCTATCTACTCCGTGTGAAAACAGCATAGTCACTTATTTAACTTATAAGCGCTTCTCTTGAATGCGCTTTCGATGAAAGCACAGTAAAGTGACCATATGGAATTGCGATGGCCACATGGTGTTTGAGCATTTTGGGCTTCAAAGGAAATGAGGTTATCAGTTAGAGAATTGTTAACAGTCTAGAAGTCCGGAAGAAATTCGCTCTTCAGATTGCAAACTGTAGATTCCATAAACTGCTTCTCTCATCCGAATGACAAGCATGAACACAGTTTTGGTATTGCTATCTTCATGTCATTAGTGGCATCGAGAGCTCCGAAGAAGTGGAAAGCAATGGCTTCCAGGATCATGACAGAAATATTTAATCGAAACTAAGGAAGAAATATTTTAATGTCAAGAAATAGAAAATTAACCCTTTGGATTCAGGACCGACAAACGCAGGACA